GGGGGGGGATACTAGGAAATATGTCACTAAACAATTGGAAAGAAACGAAGGAAAATTATGGTGGTACAAGGCCCTATTACTCACTTATGGGCCAAATAGAAAAAGGTTATGAACAAGAAGACATCTGAATAAGCACTTCCCTGATGGAATATTTTCTTCTGACAAACACCAAACGCAACAAATTGAGATGAACCTATTGATCTAAGTAAAAATAGACTAGCAGAGTAACAGGCCATCACAGTTAGCATCATGAAACCACTATCTAAAATGCGTCTACTATGGTCCCCTTCACAGAATTTCCAATCATTTTGCACAGGCTTGTGTCAGAGATATTTGAATTCAAAATGGCCTTTAACGTTCAACCACCATGCTGCTAACTATTAAGGCAAAAATGAAGAAAGTAGCAAAAGAAAGAATCCCTCAAACATGCCACTTAGCCTCAGTTTACTACTTTCTACCATGGGCCTCTAAATATGTTCCACACATTTACAGAAAAGCTAATGTCCAAAAAAAGCTTGAAATCAAACTTTTTCATTTGAAGCTCAGAGTATCAGGCAGTGCTATCAAAGGCGAAAAGCGCAGAAAAGCTCCAAGGCCGGTTGGGGCTTTAAGCGCAAATAAAGCGTGGGCTTTAATGAAAAAAGGCGCAATTGGAGAAAAAGCAAAAATATTTATATGTAGTCCAAGACCAATAATTATAAGCATGAATAACAAATATATGGACAAAATAATTGAGAAAACATTACGGAGTGAAATATCAATTGTTCAGTGTCGCCTTTTCAGGATTACACTCATTAGCAAAGAAAAGTATGCCTTAGAGTCTTGATGGGACACTGAAGCGCCCGCAAAGCGAGACGAAGCGCTCAACATGTTTTGAGCCTCGCTTTGGTGCTTAAGCGCGCTTTAAACGCGCCTTTGACAACACTAGTACCAGGCTGATAAGTATTAAGGCAATATGCGCACATTAACCAATTTTTAGAAAAATCATCAAAACGCAAAGAATAGCAACATATTGCAAAGTCTGACAACGTCTCTTAAGTTGGCAGGCTTTATTTAGCTAGTTAAGAAGTTTATCCTTTGAGGATACATAAAAATTTATAGCTACCAAAATAGTGATCCAATACATCTAAAAATGTATATCAAGGACCAGAATTTATATTATCAAATGCCTGAAGAACTTTCACAAGATGCCATGTACAGCAAACCTGAGAAAAAAATCATTTTTTTTGGAAAAAATCATAAATAAACACCGACACTTGCACCAAGGGACGTCACCCTTACAAAAAACTATACAAGTCTACTCAAAGGTTAATGAACATTAAGAACCCTTGACGTAGTTAATAGCAGTAAGCAATTCTAATTTCTAGGCATGAGAACCTTTTTTCCCGCCTAGGAATAACAACTTCGGCTCATGTCATATTTTGTGAATAAATGGAAAAACGATATCTCATAATCACTACTAATACTATGAAGCACTTTTGCTTATACCAAAAAATAACTATAAAGCACTTACATACACAATCTCAAGCATGCAAAATATACCAAATAAATGAACAAATCTCATCAAAGTTATAAGAATGCACTTATAAGAATTGGTTGTAGATACCAATTCGAAGCCACCGGGCTGCCCAGCTCCTAGTTGGATCCATGACGGAGATCAAACTGTTAAATTGTAGCTCCAAAGTTAATAACTAAAACTAACTAGGCCCATAAAACATAACAAAGAAAAAAGAAAAGGATAAATTCACCATACCCTGTAAAATTAGAAGTAGTGCAGTCCCCTACACGTTCATAATCTTCATCCATCTTGAAAAAGGGACAGTTCTCACATCCTGATTCCCTAAACTGCAATTTACCAAATAATCACCCATCAAAAAACATAAACGCCACTACAGTTTTTTTAATTTATTTTTTTGATGGTGGTGCTCGGGCCATCATGCGCGCATCTCGACTATTCCATCAGGTACCTATTATCTCTCACCAACACAGGTACCGGGTAATTCTGCCCACCAAGACTTAGACAGATGGGAAAAAATCACATTGAACCCGAGACCTCATAATTCTCTTCGCTTCGTTGACTATTAGGCCATACCCTTGGTTGCACCTCACTACAAGTATATCCACCAAAAAAACTAATTTATTCATTTTTTCCCTTAAAAATGTTAAAGACTCCGACTTTTTGAGGGAAAATCATAGCCTATTCCAGACCCAGATACAAAAACATAAAAATAATCTTCTTTTTCTTGTTTCTCACGCAGTATCCACCACCAGCATTGGAGCCCGACTAATCTGGATTCTCGTCGTGAAATGTCCATTAAAGGGGGAAGTGCTCCATTCCAGGAATTTTCCATTTCCAGGGCTCAAATCTCAAACCTCTGATTAAAGGTGGAAAAATCCAATATCTCTCGCTACAACCTTGGTGGTAAATTAATCTAACTATAATTATACATCAAATTATTCATATAGCTCCCAAGATTGATACATAGTTAAAATTGATTAACTAATTGATGAATAAAAAGTTGAAAGATTAAAAGCAAATTGATGGGTATTGAAGAAATAGAAAAAAGGGAACCTGGTCGTAGGTTTTGACAAGGCGGCAACGGAGACAAGCCCTCAGTTCATGCCCAAAACTGGTCGGAATTTGTGCTGCTTGTTGGCTTCCCATTCTTCCTCGTACTTTTTCGCTACCACTGTGTTTGCTTCGCTTGCTTTGGTGTTGCTAATAAACGGCTAATCAATTTGTGTGTGAGGGACTACAAATAGATTTTTGGAGTTCGATGTTTTTCCCCTAGAGTTTACTGGAATTCTATTAAACCCCACCAAGATAATTTATATATTAAGGTTTCAATCCTAGTTTGGGGTCTATTTGGTTTGCCTTTAAAATTAAAATAGGGTGTATTCGTAATTGAATAAGATTAAGGAGAAAATGGTCAAATTTGTTATTGAGCTTTACAAAATATTTCAAATTCACATTTCGTTAATAGTTAGGTCAGATATGACATAAATTTGCTCTTGAATTATGCAAAATGATCTCCATTCAAAACCTCCAACAATTTGGTCTCTTCCGCTAACCTAATCACCCTTCGGCCTCAAATCAACCTAAATAAAACTCATACTACGATCAATCACACCGTCAAATTGTATTTTGATCTTTGTCACAACTTCATCTAGACAACTTCTTCTAAAATCACTAATAGCAATGTCAGTCGTAAGAGCTCCATATCGTTCTCCTAATGTAAACGGTCAAAAATACATATTTTTGGGTGTACTTTCATCTCATAACTTGTGTGAGTGTGAAAGGTTACATGAGTTTTTGTACTGAATTATGCTCATTACGTGCATTCTTATGTGTAGGAATAAGTCGGACGAAAAGTAAGCAGAAGAAGTTGATTCGGGACCAAAAAAGACAAAAGAAAAATTTTGCTTGTTCATTCTCGCGCGCACACGAGAGAGTGAACGAGCTAGCTGAGGAAAGCTTGAAAAAAAAAACAGTGAACTAAGCTAAAAAGGCGTGGAATTGCACAAGAGATTTAGGAGGCAAAGAGAAAGAGAAGTACTTCGCTCGTTCACTCTCGCGTGTGCACGAGAGAGTGAACGAGCTAACCTGAAAAATTTGTTCCAAAGTTGGCTTGTATTATTTCGCCCCATGCTAACCCTATCCCGTATAAATAGTCTTTCACTTTTGAAGGGAGATTCGACCTAAGGAGGCTAGAATAACACACAAGGAGCAAGGTGGAGAATTTTTCTACGAGTTTTTCATTTTCTTCTTCTTATTTTCATTATTGGTTATGAATTTTAGTATTGTAGTTTTACATACTTTTATGAGTAGCTAATTCTGTTATCTAGGGTTTTGATGGAACCTTTTGTAGGATGAATTCTTGATGTGTTTTGATATAATTGAATCTTTGATTTTTTTCTACTTGTTCAACTACGTGCTTATTTTAGTTAATTGAAGAGCTCTCAATTAACTGTGTCTATTTATTATGTATTGCTTGAAAGAGAGTACTTATTTAGGTGGTTGTTGAACAATATCACTCTTAACGTATATGACAGATCAATACGATGGGTTTAAAAGCGGGATTAGAGATAACAAAATTTAGACGTGATCATAGTAAGCGGTGAAAAAGTGCGAGCTAGCATAATTCGAGAGAATATGATTAGTATATTATTATAGTTGCTCGAAAGAGAATTACGATAAGCCGAGTGCTCATGGTCAGTAAAGAATAATTAGGCGAATTTATAGAAGACGTAGCGAGAAGGATTCCTACAATTGAAAAAATCATAACTCTAGACCTCCTTAATCTCTTCTCCAATCCTTAATATCTTTAGTTGTCAATTTACTCCTTTAATTTATTAGTTAATTAGCTAGACATAAGAATCTTTATATTTATAACTTAGGAATTGTTTGAGCATGTCTTTTTAGTGATAGCAAACATTTGTAGTTAAACCTTAGTTCTCTCTGGGATTCGACTCCGGACTCTTAGACCGGATTACATTTGCAACAATCACTTATCTTTTTAGGACTAGAGTTGGGCGTGATCAAATTTTGGCGTCGTTGTCGGGGAACTAACGGTGTAGTTGTAGTGTATATATTTCTAGGTTTCAAGTTTGAATTTTTTTATTATTATATTTTTTAAATTTTACTTGTCGATTTGAGAAACATGACATCTTGGAATTATGAGAGGTTCGGAGTTGGTCATTCTACTTTTGATCCTTATACATATTGCGAAAAAATTACCCGTCATAAAATTATCAAAATATTCCCGAGAGCGAGTTATGTGCACCAACACAATCTTATTTGTGGAATGTGTNCACCCCTTACTATGTTAGTTTTACTTTTTCTTGTGAAGTTAATAGGAACAAAGAACCCGGGAATGATGACTTGAAAGAGATCAAGGATATACTAAGGTACCTTGTGAGAAATAATAATGATACACAACTACAGATAGACAGACAAGAGGCAACTATTTACAACTTGGAGGCTCAAGTGAGTCAACTACTTAAAGCTTTTAATTCTCAGCATGTTAATATTATGGATAGTAGCCAGGAGCAATGTGCATTGGAGATAGAAATTGAGGTGCCAATGGAGGGGTCCATAGTAGAATACCAATACTCTAACCAGCTAAAATTTGATAATGTCAATGTTGAAGAAATGATACTAGAGTCATGCAAGGACATTGAGGATACAAATTTAGCTGACTCTATTATAATTTGTGTCGAGGAGGCTGAATATCTTGAAGTTCAGGTATTTGAGCGTGTCATACCTCAGTCCAAACACTTCTCTACATTATGTTCGGATGAAAAAATAAGAATTGATCCTTATGAGCATAAAAGGGAGTTAAGGGAAGAGGTAGATAAACCTTATATTTTGAAATATTCAAGGTCGTCTAGGCAAGGTGACACTCCTCGGTCAAGAGCCAAAAAGGTGCATGAGAATTTACTTTATTGTTGGCTCGCAAGAATTTGTACCACCCCAGGAGCATAATCATAAGCTTGAATCAAAACTCGGGGTCCAATTCATAAGTTCGAGATGGAGGCAAAAAGTGATTCACGTCGTGCCGCGATATTAAATCAGGCACTTGTTGGGAGGCAACCCAACTTTACTGCTTTCATTGATTTTTATTTTTTATTTTTTAAAAATATTTTTATTGTGTTAATTTTTTAGTACAGGTTTTGATTTTCTAGGAGCATGATAAGCAAAGCCATTGGAAGGAAGCAACAGAAAGCAAGATGGCTGGAACTAAGTGTGGGGTGCCCGCATAAAAGACCAATGCCCGGAAGAAGTCTGAATACCACATGAGGTGCTAATGCTTCGGCCTTTGGTCTATCCGAGAATTTCTTTTACCCATTTTGTTAGTTATGGCGTGCATTATGGACAATGCACAATTTTAAGTGTGGGGTGGGAGAAAACTGTCCGGGTGATTTCTTGTGTTATGTTATGTATGTTAAAAGATATATACAAAAAAAATAATTAGGTAGAAATAATCCCTCTTGGTTTTTCTTATGGCCTCAGTTCTTTTCCAAGGGATGACACTTTGATTCGGGTAGTAGTTTTTTAGGTAAAATTTTAAAAAAAATTGGACTTTTTCCGACGATGGATTTCTTAGTCAGTTTTCTTGAGGGAATAAAGTCTAAAGAAAAAAATATAAAATAGATTTTTCTTTTCTTTTAAGAAACGATAATGGAATGGAATAACTTAGAGTATATATGCTTTTTGACATATTTTATGCTGGGACTTAGAGCTGTAACATTTGAACTGATTATCTTCTTCATGTTCTATGTGCCCATATGCCTTGAGAATATATGTGATTATCCTTTGACTCTTAAGTTCATTTGTTGACTCCTGTGATTACTTTCATACGATGATTGTGCTTAGTTGTTTAACTAGAGTGTCGGGTCTGAGCCATTCAGAGTGAATCATGTGCGTTGTATGATGTGAGGTCTTAAGTACATTCTGTGTTATCATGTGTTAGTCTAGAACTTTCCCGTGTATTAGTCGAAGCGAAATAAGTAAGCTTTGTGAGTTTAGGAGATGATGTAGGCATTTCTTTGATAGTCCATTGAGCTAGTATGCCACCATAAATAAGATTATCCTTAGATAGCCCATTTGAGCCCAAAACCCTTTTCTTTGGCACCCACATTACAATCAGATTCCCTTTTAGTTTTTAATTAAATCTTTTTGAACATTTACCTCCGAAAACACTCAAGTCGCTAGAAGAGTAAGGTGAGAGTTTTGGTAGCTTTTGAGTGGAACCACAGAAAGGTCAAAAGGTGCACGTATGTTTTGAAAGATCATTAGCCGGGTAACCCAAGTTTGGAGAGTGTTGAAAAAAAGAGAGACAAAAAGAAACAAAATCAAAGAAAATACAAAAAGAAAAGAAGAATGAAAAAAATAAATAGAAAATACACCTCCTATTCCTCTTAATCCGGGTTAGTGAATGCATAGTTATGCTTAAAGAAGAAGGGACAAATTATATATAAATTTTGTGGCATTGCTGCCATGAAGAGCGTGTATTTGAAAGTTAAGTGTAGTGTATTAAAGTGATTAGGAGGGTTAGTCACCGTACCTAAATATATCCTACCCATCACTTAGCCTACATTACAATCTAGAAAGACCTAATTGATCATTTCACAAGCTTAGCTTAGTAGAGACATACACTACAAGCAAGCCTATGGTACGACCTCGGGATGCACATGAATTTCTTTATGAGAGAGAGCGAATTCTTTCGATTTGTAAGTCCTTAAATTATACTTAAATGCATATTTGAGTGTGTGGACTAATTTCTCTCTTTGATTGTGGTGAGAGCACATGATTTATAAAGGATTGGTAAAGTCTAGGCATTTTGAGTTGACACAAGAAGTGAGTCATAGTAAGGAATGTATTGGAGTCATTTCTTGAGGTTAGGATGTTAGAAGAAGTCACACAAATATTTTAAATAGTCTTGGTATGTGTCTACTTTTGAAGAAAAATGTCAATATTTCTTATGTTAGGTTCTAAGTGTTGGTATAAACCATTGTCATTGGTAGGATGCTTGAGTATATTTTGAAAGGTGTTTCTTACCATTGTGCTTAATTTTGAAGTTGCTCGAGGTCGAACAAGAGTTTAAAGTGTAGGGTGTTGATAAACGGTGAAAAATACATATTTTTTGGTGTACTTTCATCTCATAACTTGTGTGAATGTGGGAGGTTACATGAGTTTTTGTAGTGAATTATTCTCATTGCATGCATTCTTATGTGTAGGAGCAAGTTGG